AATTATTATGATAGTTCCGCCAAAATGGTGCAACCAGACTCGGAGGTCTGGAATATGGATTAGAATTAGCAATCGAAAATTGTACTTTAGGGTTTTCCTAGTTAAGAGTATGGTAGTCAATAAAAAAACCGTATTGGTTATGTAGTCATTTTTTTAAAGAATCAAAACGTCAAGCGAAAAAACATATTGTCCCAGCGATCGAGTCTTCTTCTTCTCATTCTTGTTTCTACAGACAGACCAAAAGAAGTTCGTTCAAAAGCAACAACATCACCTAAGTTGTCATTGCTAATAGAAAACGCATTTGAAAGCTTCGATTAGTAGTATATTGTCGTTAGTCGATATTTTACTTTTATCAATTTCTGCCAGTTTCCGACCTGGTCCTGAAGGATACTTCTTAGTTTATCTACTGAATAATGCAACCGGAAGTATTATGTACCGGTCACTCCTGATTGCAGTACGTAAGTGAGCATTTCCGGTTCGGCTCAGAACTGAAAGTTTTCACATCACGCTAATTAATTATCTATTGAGCTGGGTTCTACACACCACCAGCTGTGACAGGGAATATTCAGCGGCATATGCAGACCTGCGCTTATCGAAAGGTAGAATGTGGGCAATTTCGTTTTGCCTGGCGACTTATGGTCTGCAGCTCACTTAGAACGTTGCACTTCAGCACCAAGGGACAGAATATGCCCGGTCTCATCCAGCATGACGCGAGCACATACTGCAGCAGTGAGAGTCTTAATCGATTAAAAACCGCGTTGGACTCAAACTTCAAACATCAGTGTACTTAGGTTGTAGCTGTCTTGACCTAGGAACGGAACTTTGTGTATCCACAATTTGTCTGCAGCAGTTGTAGTCTAGAAACCACTGTGTAGTTATAACCACCGCCTTACATATTACTGCACATTATGGTCCATCGACCCCATGCAATGCGCACGTAGCCTTTCCAAATCAACTTGCTTGCTTGCAGATCACAGATAAAATTATCAGCCTTTAGCATTATAGACATGAAAACGGTTACTGAACTGGTTATAAATGTTTTCAGTGAGAAGTATCCTAAATTATGGAGGGGCGAGAGACGTTTTCGACACACTGGCACTGCAGGAATGTTGTAGAGTAAAAAGTAACAGTGGTAAGGTCCCTGCGCCGTTGTCACAACAAAATAGGATGCAATCATGATAGTTTCCTTTCAGAGTACAAATTGCCCACTTGCAAGATTATTCTCACCGACTAACTCGGCCGCTTGTGTCAGTCGAACATTCTGGAGAAGCATCGGATAAGCGAGTGCAATTGGCTAATGCATTTTAGTGCCACCTAGGTCTCCTGAGATGGAGGCCGTTTAAGTCCATTTGATGATAAGGATGACCTGTATGGGCGTCTATAGAGAACCCCGGGTCAGGAACCATCCACAGTACATTCATTTTTGCGTCAAATTCCAGAGAATGTAGGTTTAGAATTGAGGTGGTGGTTGGGGTTAAGGTTAGAGTTAGGTTTAAAGTTTGAGTTTGTGCTAACTGTAGGGTCTAGTTTTTTGGTATGGCTAGGGTTAAGATTAAGGTTACAGTTCAGCTTTGTGTTAGGGTTAGTGCTAGGGCGAAGACACAGAAATATATTCTCTTTCCCAAATTGCTCGTAAGACAACATATTTTAAGTGGGCGGGGCGTTCTTACCCCGGTGGCCTGCCTGGGCGGCTATGTAAGTCATCCTTCCCTATTTACTTTCTCCTGTTGCCGTTAGGGAGGTGGCATTGCAACAGATGATGGTGAAAGCAAGAATAAGGCCAAACTTCATCTCTAGTTTTATACACATAAGTCGTTGTTTGAATGAATTTAGTAAGATGAATAAATTGTGCGAGCATCTTTAAGAAAACAAAAGTCAGATATAAAAGGGCCAAAGTTCTGCATTGGGTCGTCGGACTGTCACTTATGGTTTTACACAGGTACAAATCCCCCCTGGCAGACCTGCCGAGTACAGTGCAGTACATGCCCGCCTACACATGGGGCTCTGCGCTTACTAGCTGGAAACGGAGCGTGTTTGGCATGTACAGGTTGTCGGCGCTGCTCTCCTCCGGGGGTTTATCGGACGCTCTTGCATGGCCTATACCTGTTACCTTGTAACGTTTGCATCTGCGGTCGAGGATGAAGGTATGCAGAGCAGTCATAATAGCTTGAAGGTCAGCAGTTCCAAACGGCATATTCCTGTGGGGCGGATAGGGCATACTGTGTGCAGGAGGAGAATGCAGCCCCTATCCCGAGAAAACCAACGGACGCATTCGATTCCGGAGGAGTGATGCATGAATGACCTATTTATGCTGACTTGATGTGTGTCTGATGAGTGCGTGTGTACGGAGGTAGTTTGGCTGGGGAGGCGTATAGTAAACATTAACATCTTTCATATGGGGTTGGATTTTAATTTGCCGACCTCTGTGACCATCTGTGCGC